TTGCACCTGTATGGTTATCTCATCAGTGTCAGTGAGCTTTATAGGTTTTATTTCCTGGCAAGAACTCTTGGGATTAAGGCAAACATAGTTTAATCTTCTTTCTTGAAAGCATTAGAAATGCGCAAAATGCCTGAACAAAATGATCGTGGAATGAATACCTTATAACAAAGAACCAATGCTTGGATCATACACTTTCAATCTGCTTCTGTAAAGATGAACCACTACTTGCCAACCTTCTCAACTACCTTCAAGAGCACAAGCTGAGACCCTGGGAAACCAGGGTTATATGGTCATGGTTATATGGTTCCTTAGTAGCTTGCTGCAGTCTGGTGATAAAGAGATAAAATTCAACTGCCAATGCAGTTGGCTTTGGGGCAGAGAAAGGGAGGTGTATCTCATTACCGGAGTGCAGCGGGTGGGTGGGTAGTCTACGAAAGTAAGGATATCTTGGCCTTCCTTTCATAGAATAGTATTCTCATTTTTTCCCCCACTATAAATATCACAAGCTTTATTTAGAGTATACTTACAAATACTATTCAATAATAAAAGGGGTAAAGGTTATTGTTTTGTAAACAAATACATTAAATGAAGAGCCCAGGGCTCTTTGGGTTATAAAGTGCAGTTATGTTTTCGTTAACCTACACAATGTGCTAGCATTGTGCCTACCTGAACTAAGCCATTTATGGGTCCACAACTAGCAGAGACTTCTGCTGACAGGGAGTCCCAGGAATATAAATACAAGAGCAGTGTTTCTCAACCTTGACAATTTTAAGGCATGTGGACTTCAACTCCCAGAATTCCACAGCCAGCAAAGCTGGCTGTGGAATTCTGGGAGTTGAAGTCCACATGCCTTAAAATTGTCAAAGTTGAGAAACACTGTACAAGAGGGAAAGAAGCAATAAAGACAGACAATAAAACAGAGAAGGAAGGGTGTCCTCGTCCAGACACGTACTTAATTCCTTGCTACTCGGAACAGACTCACGCAAAATCTGCCTGCTTCTTTGATAGAGAAGGATGCGGAATGGAGAAAGGGAACGTGTCTTACCCGGCACAAATAAAGACTCGGGGGAAATGATGCAATGGGCGCCGTCAGCTCTCAGCTCAGAGGCTATTTTAGAACCCCGCTTACCGATCATAAAAAGGGTGCTCCTCCCCAAAATCCTTGAGGTGCTTCTTCTGCTTCTTACTTAAGTGGCTGATCAGCTGCTGGCGCTGCTGGCGAGCTTTCCTCTTCCCCATCTCGGCAAACTTCCTACTCCGGCTCCCACGTGGTTCCCTTTCTCGAGCCTTTTACGGCCCTAGCCACGCAGTGTCACGTCCTCTTGCGACAGACGCCTCCTGAGATTTGGTTGCCGTAAAGGACTCTTTTGCTTGCTGGGGAATTCTGGGAGTTGAAGTCCACGCGTTTTTAAAACCGTTAAGGTTGAGAAACACCGACTCTCCTCCTACAACTACGACAGTGGGCGGAGTTTCATTTGGGGGTCTTTCTCCGACAAGGATTGGGTTTTCTTTTCAAAATGCTGTGACTTTTATTAAACCCTTTTAATGTTTAATAATAAATGGCTAGTCTAAAGAAAAGAAGAAATAGGGGAGACATGATAGCAGTATTCCAGTATCTGAGGGACTGCCACAAGGAAGAGGGGGTCACTTTGTTCACCAGAGCACCAGAGGGAAGGACGAGAACCAATGGTTGGAAACTGATCAAAGAGAGAAGCAACCTGGTATTAAGGATAAACTTCCTGACAGTGAGGACAATCAACCAGTGGAACAGCTTGCCTCCAGAAATCGTGGGCGCTCCATCACTGGAGATTTTTAAGAAGAGACTAGACAATCACCTGTCTGAGATGGTATAGGTTCTCCTGATTGAGCAGGAGACTGGACTAGAAGACCTCCAAGGTCCTATTCTATTCTATTCTATTCTATTCTATTCTACTCTACTCTACTCTTATTCTTGTTCTATGCCAGTGTTGCTGCATAACTCACTTTTTAGATTGAAACTTCATGAACAAATCTCACCTGTAATATGGATATACACATGTATGGAAAAGCATGTACAAGATTGTGTTGTAAGTGGGTTTCTGGTCCGACCCAATGGAGCTCTGAGACTAAAGTGAAAAAGCTGAATATTTTAGGGAATGCTGGCTCTTATTATGAAGCTATAGATGTTCTGTGTGGGCAGAATATATTACTGGTTGATTAACAGAGGTTTGTGAGGAGGGATAAGCCTCGAATTTTTAGATAAGCATGGGAGCATATCTCGATCATCAGGTTATCATGGAAGGTGAGCAAAGATTGTCCAAGAAGCTATCTAGAAGCTAATCCACTTTTGGAATAGTGAGTGCTATCTTATATGATGTTATGTGTGCTATTATAAGTGCTACTTTATTTGATATTATTATGGCTGAAACATGGTGGTTGCAGGAACTGATATGTCAATTGTAAGGAAGAGAAGGACTAGTGTTGACATTTGAGGGGAACAACCTATTCTCCAAAGCACCTGAGGGCAAGAGAAGAAGTAGCAGATGGAACATATCAGAGAGATCAAACCCAGAATTTTCTTGACAATTAGAACAATCAGTGGAGCAGCTTGCCTCCAGAAGTGGGTGCTCCAACACTAGAGGTTTTTAAGAAGAGATTGCACAGTCATTTGTCTGGGTTTCCTGCTTGGGCAGGGGTTTAGACTAGAAGACCACTAAAGTTCCTTCCAACTGTTATTCTGTATATTACAAACAAAAGAAAGTTAACTAGAAGTGGACTTCAAAGATAGTATAGGACAATGTTTTCCAGCTGAGGTCTTGCAAATTGTTGAACAACAATTTCCATAATTCTAACCAGTGTAATAGTAAAACTTGCTGCCCTTGAATTATAATTTTATTTCAATGATCTGAAGGGCATCAGATTGGGCAGAATAATTAAGATCCTTTAAATTCTAAAACAAATTAAGGATCCCTCTGGCATTCACAAAATGCCAGGGAAATAGCAATCCAAGGATAGGAAAGCCAAGTGTCCTGCAGAGGATAGTGGTGGTGGATGACTAATCTAAGCCCCGCCCTCTTTCTGGAATTGATGTACTTTCAGAGATCAAGCACCATTTTGGAGTTTGGCTTGTAGGTTGAACTGCAAGAGAGGAAGTTTGCTTTTTCCTCCCACTTGTTGGCATATAATTTCTGGTAGTGCATTGTCTTCTTTGGCAAGTATAGACTGATCGGTTTTCTGTCATTTTTATTCTTTTGTATTTATTTGCTGCCTATGGCTTAAAGCTTATAAAATGGGAATTATTTTGCTGACAAACAGATCCTTTAAACTGAGTATCCTTTTCTGATATTTTACCATACATTGTTTTTTTATTGAACTGTCTTTACAGCATATCCTATTGCAATTAAAATCATTATTGGAGATTTACTATATAGAAAAAATATCCATGCTATATCTAATTAAAAAGTACAATTGATATATCATAAAACACATTAACATACCTCAGGGGCTAATTTTGAATTATACTCTACAAAAAACTAAGTTTACATCATTTCCCTAAATATGATCAGGGAACTATTGTAATCGGATTTGATTGGAGGAATGTTCCCAAAGGCCAGCAGTGCTTCTAGTTTCGTTCCCCCTTTAGTTCCTGGATGTGAAGGAGTATGAGTTGATTTTCCTGGGATGACTTTTTATGTTGTCCTAAAGAGTTTTGTGCAGCAAAACCAGCTGACTGGAAGCTAGTACAGGGTCCAAGGCACACCTCAACATCTGATGTCAGTTAACACATGGCTTTTTGCATTCTGGATCAATGGTAGCTTCTGTGTGGTGTTTAAAGGCAGCCTCACATAGAGTGCATCACTATTGTCCTAAATGGCTTGTAACAAGGCCATGAATTGCTAGATCATGTTACATTTGCTGTTAGGTCATAACCAGCCAAAGGTTGACAAAGGCTGTCCTGGCCACAGATTCCACTTGCTGCTCTGAACAAGAGCTGGGAGTCCAGAAAGATTCTCCAAAGTATATTAAGAGACAGCACTAACACTGACAGAGAACTTTGATGGATAAGCAGCATCTCCATCTTGCTTGGTTCCAATGTCAATCTGTCCTGTTCCAACCAGACTGACAGTTTCCAACTACTGGAATAAGACATTAACAACATTTCTAATCCAGGGCTCAAAAGATAATATCAGAGTAGAATAAAGATGGGTTCAAATATGCTATCTGAAAATTCTGACACTATATGCTAGACTACGATTATTTATTTTCTTATTAGTTGAATTTAGATCTCAAGAGAAATCTATTTGCTTTCTATCATGGCTATTCTTGTTGTTGTTAGTTGCGAAGTCGTGTCCGACCCATCGCGACCCCATGGACAATGTTCCTCCAGGCCTTCCTGTCCTTTACCATGTTCTGGTGTCCATTTAAGCTCACGCCTACTGCTTCAGTGACTCCATCCAGCCATCTCATTCTCTGTCGTCCCCTTCTTCTATTATCTTCTGCTTCCAAAATTTACTTCCTATTTCTTGTATGTGTAAAGATGGGTGTACATTTTTTTTACTAAATTTCAATCTTGCCTTTTGATTAATACCATTTAAAATACCTTTAAAATATTAAGATACAATTAATCATACAAAAACATTATTCAGAGCAACATACTTGTAAACTAAGTAGCAAATTAAATATTTGTATAAAACCCGATTTTTTTGGCTTTTAATGGCTGAGTATAGAGGTTTAATGAATATAAATACGGGTACAGAAAGAATATATGACTGTTCCTTTCAGCAGAACTTAAATGATTCAACATGACAAACATATATAAATACTTCAATCTTAAGTTTCCGAACAGTGTAAGTGAATCCTATAATTCCCTATTGAAAATGCTCTAAATGTTTTCAAAAATATTACGTAAAAATTTCAGTGTTTATAGAATTAGTGATAGAATATTACAAAAGTTTGATGGTTCTCTCCTCAATCTATATAGGAAACAACTGGAGCAAATTACCAATTCAAATAATGAATGTTGATAAACAATTTTGTATAACATTTGTTTTATTAATATACAAGGACAGTATCCTTTTCAAGACCTTCATCCAAATTATGGTGCAGATGAAATCTTCATGTTTTTTTTCTTTAATCGCTTCTGAACCGATAAGCTTTTGTTGTAAAGTTCCAAATACTTGATTTGGTCAAGTAATAAGATTCCCTGTAAGTACCCTGATACAGGGCTCTTTCAAAATCAGTGTAAATTTTATAAAACAACAGTATTTCATGTTGATTTCCTAATTAATCCATAGGGAAATTTAAAAAAAAAAGAGTCCAGGTATTTATGATGTAATTGTGGTTTCTTCAACTTCAGGCAGGACATCCCAAACAGGTTTCTGAATATGATCAGGAAGTTTCTCTAATTTGGTCTAAAAACAATGGGAAATATATAGATACATGCTTATGTTGGAATAGTTCATAAGTTAAATTCTGTAAGTATTTTTTAAAAACCCAACACAATGTGTGAAGAAGATAGCAAAAGACTTCTGCTTTAGTAGCTATCTGATTAATATTAAAATGTAAGAGTTCAACATATTTTTATATTATATAAACAATGGGGATGTTTTGTTTCCAAATCCAAAGCAAATCATCATGTTCTAGAAATTGATAGTCCTCAACTTACGACCACAATTTGGACCGGAATTTCTGTCACAAGTTATTGTGATTGTAAGTCAAGTCAGATCCCATTTTTACAATGATTGTTAAGGGAATCCAACTTCCCCAATGGACATTTTCCCCCAGAAATTGAAAAAAAAAGGCTTGCAAACTGCAATCATATGACCACAGGATGCTACAATAGATTGTAAATGCAAGTCAGTTATCAGGCACTCGAATTTGTGATCACATGACCACAGTGGTGGTATGACACTTGTAAGTGCAAATATAGATCACTAGTCACTTTTTACAAGGCCACCGTAATTTTGAACCATGTTAAATCAATGGTCATAAGTAGAGGACTGCTTGTATGCATTGCCCCTCCCACTGCAGCTCCTAGTCTAATATAGCTCATCAGTCCCCCAATCTTCCCACCATCTTCCTGGCCCCCTTTTTTCTGCTCTTGTCTCAGTGTGGCATTCTCCCACTGCTCTTCCATCCCCTGCCTCAGCTACTGACAATCTTGTATTCCTCCCCACCACCATCATTTTTGCCTGAAATAAAACAGCTGTCTTATTGTGTGCATGGTGCTTACATCACAAAAGTGAGAGATTGTGTGCATGAAGAAAAACACTCAGGCTAGGCATGTTTTGGTTTGCGTCCAGGCCACTCCAAAACAACTGCTCCATGCGTAGAAGAGTTTGTGTATGAAACATTTTGCACACCTCTATAAACAGAACAAAATTAGCAATACCTTTTTGACTTCCATGGCAACCCCTTCCGGTAGATTTCGCTGAATGTATTCCAAGTAAACATTGGCTGTGCTACCAGTTAAATTCTTTAACTGAAACAGAAAGCACTCTTATAGTTTTCGGATAACAATAATCTGGAAAAAAATCTGCATGTACAGGAGCATTAGAGCAATTGTAAATAGTGTCTGACTTACTAAGAGATTTCTCCTAGCTTGAATCACCTTGCATTTTCTTTATGTTTACTTAAATCCAGAATATCAAAATATAAAGCCTGGATGTGGCTATAACTACCTATCGTAAGTTAACAAATATCTAACTTGTTGAGAGAAGGTATACGCTCTTTTCCAAAAGACAGTTTTCTGTGCATTCTATGTACCTATTATTTTTTAGTTGAACATGCAGCTCTTTACTTACCTCTATATACTGATAATGTGTTCTCATTTCATACTGAACTCTGTGCTTCTTATAAATGTGTACTGATTTCAGGAGCGTTAATCTTTCTATCTTTCTAGGAGGCTTCTCTCTAAAAGATAGTAACATTTTAATCATGTGGACATAATCTATTTCTGAAATTACAGCGAATATAAATAACAGCAATTATTTAGAAAGCTGGGAAAAGCAAAAGGACAAACTAAGTTGAGCCTTCAACTAAAGGGGATGTCTGCTTTCCTGATCAGGCTATATAGCTGTTAAATTATATAATTTGGAATCTAGTTTATCTAATGTTTTGAAGTACAGATCTTGGAAGTAGGCAACCGACAATGCATATAAATGAAAAGATAAAACTTCAAATACAGGTAGTCTTTGATTTATGGCCACAACTGAGCCCAGAATTTTGGTCTTAAGTCATTGTGGTCGTAAGTCGAGTCACCCTATGACTGGATTCAATGATACAATCGTTTTTATGATGGTCATTAAGCAAGTCACCATAGTTGTTAAGTGAATCGCATGGGTGGAAAACAGCAAAAAAGTCACAAAATGTGACCATGTGATTGTGGCACACTGCAACTGATTGTAAATGTGAATGTAATCGCTGGGATAATGCAGCAGTCATAACATTAAGGACAGGGGTAAGCTGAGGACCACCTATTATGTAAAGATATCTGGGCTGACAAACATCAATTTTATTATATGTAAAATTCTATTTAATTCAATTGTGATAGAATGAAAAGTGACTTTGCTTAAAGCTTATTTTGAAACAATTATTCAAACAAGTTATACTGATATAACATCAAGAGTTGTTTTCTTTTAGTTTATAAGCCTGCTAACAAAAGTTCACATAGCTTAATTAGTCCTAAGACTCTTTCCAAGACTCACTCTTTCCTAAGACTTAAGAGAGTTCAAATTGGCTCTACAACAGCATTGGTTGCTCTGGTCAATGACCTCTGTAGGGACCTAAATGGGGGGAATGTCCCCCTTTGGTCCTATTAGACTTCTCAACAATGTTTAATATACTCAATCATTATACCTTTCTTACTGATTGTAGGAACTGAGACTTGAGTGCGTTATTCTGTGGTAATTCCATTCCTGTTTAAGCAAGTGGTTTCTATCACAGGTTACGATTCAGGTTCCTAGGAACAATAATATGGGGTACCTCAGGACACAGGGCTTTCCCCATATATTATTAAACATCTATATGAAATTGCTAGTGGTTTGAGTTGAAATGTCATCAATATATAAATGACATCTAATTATGCACACAGTCTGGGGTTCAATCCTGATGAGCTCAAGACTGACTCAGCCTTCCATTCTTCCAAGGCCAATAAAATGAGGACCCAAATTGTTGGAGGTAATATGCTGACATTGTAAACCACTCAGAGAGTACAGTAAAATACTATGGAGCAGTATGTAAGTCTAAGTGTTATTGCTAATTATATATTCCTACTCTAACTTAAACTGGAGGTATTATAAAAGCCCTAAATTGATACCTGAAGGATCTGAATAGGAAGAAAACAAGCTGACTAAATCCCACCAAGTCAAATTTGCTAGTTGTCCATAGACATCTAGATAACTTAGTAACACTGGCTCAGCAGCTGCACCTGATGGAGCCAAAGTTCATGAGTTGGGGTTCCCCTGGACTTTCAGCTCCTGCCTATATAGCAGGTGAGAAATGTAGTCAAAGCAGATTTCATTGAGCTCCAACTCTACTTAGACCAAGGTGTCCTAGTAACAATAACCCATGCCCTGATCACCATTTGGTTGGATTACTGTAATAGGGTCTATGTGGCTACCCTTGGAGATGACACAGATGCTATAATTAATACAAAAGGCAGCTATTAAAACAAACCCATTACACTGGGGGAAAAAACCCTATTCTGAAGCCACTTTCCTTCCAAATTTCATAATGCATGGTTAGACAGCAGACCTTGGCTGCTCTCATTTTATTGAATAACTTTCCCCCAGAGATACACATAGCCCTGAATTTAAAGGTGTTTCTCAAGCAAACCAATCTTTTTCCAGTCTATGTTTCACCTTATGTTTAATTTATTTTTACAAGCGTCCATGATGCTTATTATTATTGATTCTTTAAAAAATATTTTAATTTTGGTTACTGTTTTGACCTTGTATCTGCCTACAGGCTACTAGGAATGAAGAGGGATATAAATATGAAATAAAAAGTAACTCATAGAAGCAGTTTGCCCCACGCTGATTCTGGAACCAATTACATTGACAGGTGGCAGGCTATCCTTTACTGGATATGCTTAAATGGTGGCTAGAAAATCATGTCAGTATTCTTTAATTTGGGAATCTCCTACTGAACATGGAGTAATGGCCTAAATGGTCCATTATAACTGTGTGCTTCCAATTTGATTTTGATTTTTTGGACAATTGGTGGAACTATAAGGTTTGGGAGTACATATTGCAGTGAGTTAATCTACTTCAGAATAAAACTCTAGAAAGACTAATTAACTATAAAGATCAATAGTACTTACATTTTTTCAATAGAGAGACCAAGTTCTTTTGCAGCTAGCACCATGAAATATTCGTAACTGTCCAACACAGCTCTATCATGCCCTTTAACTAAAATAGCCAGTCTTTTATATAATATATCTGGCTCATCAGAAACAGATACCTAGTTTGGAAGCAAAGAGAAATAATTTAGCATTAGCATTCTAAAGATGTCATCCTGAATACAATTACTATAATTTAAGTATAAACTATCCAGTACACGTTAAAATTAATCGTTATTCTCTCACTTTTTTTCAATTCATACAAATATAACTTAAATCATAACTTAATTATTTCTTCCAAATCTTTTCTTAGTTGCTGGAAAAGCATACACTGAAAATCATCACACATACCAATGGATTCTTTGCAGGCTGTTGAGTATTATTGTTGGCCCTTGAAGACTGAATCCACATCAAGTGATTATTTCTGAAAAGTAAAAGAGGAATCAGTTTGAATTAGCTTGGAACTGTCATTGGTCATAAAAACTAAAAAATCACAGCTTTAATATAGCAATGTGGCAAACTTACCTAAGAAAATTATGTTGCTTTAATGGAACTCTGCCTGCTACAAGACAATTTTCTGGCCCCTAAAAAAAAATAAAAAGTACATAGTTAATATAATTTTAAGTGTATCTGTCATTGGTATTTTTCCAGAATTTGATCTCAAACTGCAGATTTAAAAAAAAGATGGAAAAGGGAAACAGTATTAAATTATTGTTATTAAAGCCAATACATATCTACAAATTGCCTCTTCACTTGATTGTAGAATCTTTAATATATTTTGTTCATAGTGTTGACTGCTTCAACAAGAGCTTTTTAGTTGAGATGGGTGGTGTAAAAATGTGATGAATAAATGAATAAACAAGTCTGAAGTCTCTCACCATCCATTCAGACCAAAATTTTTGCTTTTTCAGAATTAGATGATTTGGCATCCTTGTGTGCTTAGTGCTTTCTACAGCAACAGAATTTTTCATTGGGAGATGAAACTTTACAGCAACAATAGTTTAAGAGTTTATAGTTCTATTCATAGGTCAGTCTTTCAGTAGTCATTTACAGAAGTGATATCTTGATATTGGGTGTGTTATTATACAGTTTTTAAATGCATAAACAAATTTTCAATAAACAGATTTTAAAAAAGGCAGCCTAAAGCCTGTTTTCAGGCAAATCTCACCAGGGCTGATGAAAGCCACACTGAACTGCTGGTAAAAAGATAACAGAGCAGTAATTATGCATGTGTGCGTATTTTCTAAAAACATACAGCTATACTCAGTTTGATTGTGTTAAATTGGATTGCAAAATACTCTAAAGGAATCTAGGGGCCACTGAAAGAATGGTCCCTAGATTCCTTTAGACTATTTTGCAATCTAATCTAATCCGATCCAATTCAAATAAATGGTTAAAATCAGTCTAAACGTTGGCAAGTTTAAAAATCTACAGTAATTGCAACAAAAGGTTGAAACATTTCAATTGAAGATTCAAATCCATGAGTCCCTTTCATTATTATTGTCAGATTTATAGGAGTTCAAGGTGATGTGTATTGCACCTCTTCCTCCACTTTTTCCCACAATCACCCCCCGAGAATGAACTGGTGAAAGAGGGAGACAAGCCCAAGTCATCCAGTCAGCTTCCTTGTCTGAGAGTAAACCAGATCCTGCTAGATGCTTGTCTAGCAGTGTAACTACCGTACTGCACCACCTTGACTTATTATAGCAGCATATAAGGTTTCCCTTTGCTAATGTGCCTTTAGAACAAATCTAAATTCAGTTAGGCCAAATTTGCCCCATAAACAGTACCAAAGAGGTATTATTTAAAGTTATTTAAGTGCCAGCACATTACAACTGCTTATCTCAGTGTTTCTCAACCTTGACCATTTTAAGGCATGTGGACTTCAACTCCCAGAATTCCACAGCCAGCAATGCTGGCTGTGGAATTCTGGGAGTTGAAGTCCACATGCCTTAAAATGGTCAAGGTTGAGAAACACTGGCTTATCTGAAATATAAACACTCACTTTGGCGTTCTATATTTTGTGCAGAAACAGGGTCAACTACCCGATCATTCTTCCCCAACCTGGTGCCGAACTACAACTAACATTCCCAGCCGGTTGATTAATTCTAAACCGCGTAGCCGGCAAAGTCTGATGTATAATTTGCTCTCACCCCCCGGAAACCACCCAAAAACGCCAAAATTACCTGCCATAGCCGGCTTAAAAGGGTCACAACCGCTCGCGCCGCCATCTTTCCGGCCCCTTCTGCAACTTCCTCTTGCTAAAATACCATGGAGTTTCCGTACTCAGACAGCCTGAGCGGCATTTTTGCGCTAGACAGCGTCAGTTTCCGACGGCGGGAGTCGCTAATAAAAATGAAAGTAGGGGGCGGTCAGTCCTCCTGGTCTGCCAGAAAGATTTTTTTTTTTCTAAACCATTTACGAGATCATCCCTCTCAAGAGAAGACGGTGTAAAAAAGATGATCCGTTGACGCAAAGAGCCCCCATTTAATGTACTTTCCAAAGCGTGTGGGGGACTATTTTTTAAAATTCTTTTGCAAATGCTTCTGGGAGAAATAAACCTGCACTGCATTGGATAGTCTACACCAGGGGTAGGCAACCTTGGCTCTTTTATGACTCGTGGACTTCAACTCCCAGAATTCCTGAGCCAGCATGGCTGGCTCAGGAATTCTGGGAGTTGAAGTCCACGAGTCATAAAAGAGCCAAGGTTGACTACCCCTGACTCTACACAAACCTTCCTGGGATTGGGCGAGGCTGAGAGACGGTGACAAGGTTGAGCCGCTGTCGCCTATACTGTGGCGAGCGGGGCGGCGTTACTCAAGGTTGGACGACAGTCCTGGAACATATTCCAACGAATCTGTCCGAAAAGGGGATGCTAAAAGGAATGGTGATCGCGGGGTCCCCATTTTACCTCCGTGGCACACGCAGAGACCAAATGCATGCCCTACTACGCCATGGTAGGGCAGCTCGTGCGGTTACGTGTCCCAAGGCCCCGACTCCGGGGCAAGGACGAGGCTACCTGTCGTTTCTGATCCCGGTAGGTTAATGGTGTAGCCTAAGGTCTCGTGTGAACATCCCCGTAGTGAAATCACCGTGTACCGTCGTACTCAAATTTCAGATCGATCGCTGATCCCAACACCTTAATAAAAGGGCTAAATTATCCCGTAATCGACCGTGATTGGTGAAATGTTTCTACCAGGAAACATTTGCATTTGCCTTTGCATTTCCGCCCAGTTTTGAACTCAAAGCTTAACATTCAGGTTGCAGCGTAAAAAAAGAAAACTGGCTAAGCTGGCGCTTTTACGGCCTGCTTGCCTCAATCTACCTCTCACCGTTGGTAACGCTTGAATTCACTGTAATTCGTTCAATTAGGAGACAAGACCAACGCTTTGTGCAGCGATCGGTTTTAATCGTGGGAACACGAAGATCCAAAAAAAACCATTAAATCACAAAACTTGATAAACTATCTTTTTGCCCACGTGGAGTTCGAGCACAAGACACCGGAAGAAGGTGGAGCGGAAAGCCGCCAGCTGCGTTTATGGAACCTTTCCAGTAACTTTAGAAAAAAATGTTTCTCAGACTTAACAACTTTTAAGATGTGTGAACTCACTTTCTAGAATTCCCCAGCCATATTCTGGGAGTTGAAGTCTACACCTCTTAAGGTTGCCAGGTTTGAGAAACACTGAGCTACACCAAGTCACTTAGCATGGGTTCCTTATTCAGATAATCAAGAGGACATTCTTTATGTTTTAATGCATTAAAAATACTTTTGTTTCTTAATTTTACTTTTTCAATTAACCAGCCCCCTTATTAAGCTCTATGTAATTCATATACATTCAGGTCTTCTGCTCTCCCAATCTCAATACACACAAAGCTTTTTGAGGTGCACAGAATGGGTTGTATGACTCCAGGCCAAAACTGTTACAGTCCTACATTGATCTGTCTACAATTGAAAGCAATTGGTAAAGTAGATTATGAGGGATGAGTGTTTTGTGACAGAATGTATGGGTTCCTTGGCCTTAGAAGTTTGAGGATAGATGGAAGGGGGGAGGGGAAGAGGGCAAGAACTGAGGATGTAGAATGAGGGTACAATTGGCAGTTGAAGGCACAGCAGCAATCTGTGGGTGGGTTGCATTAAAAAAAGATGGGGTTGCTGACTGAGAACCATCTTATTGTCCAGTCCTTTGTATTTGCCCTGAAGCCAGATCACTGGATAGTTGGTAGCCCTGGGTTCCTGCTGCTGCTTCTGAGCACAAGTTTGGTTTATAATAAACCTGATCCACACACAGGTCTAATAATGGACAGTTGACTTGTTGGGTACACTGAGACCTAGTGGACCAAAGGGGAGGAGGTATGTATTCACTTTGGTTTTATGAGTGCCACCAGTGATTAGCTAAGGGGGAAATGAGATGGTTGTAATCTGGAAGACCTCAATGGCTTTTAAGGGCTCTGCTTCAGAGACAATTGGATGAGAGCGCTTTTTGGCTGAAACTGGGTTCAAGGGAACTGTTGAGTTGCTGCACTGCCCTCCCTCCTGTGCAGCAGCATCCCTGTCCAGTCCACTGCACTCCAACCTTATCTTAGCAGTGAAATCCCAAGGCGATTAGTGCTTGGATACTTGAACTTCCTCCCAAGTGACCTGAAATCAGGAGTAGCTCAGGAATTCATGACCCAATCATTAACCTGACCCAATCATTGAAGGCACAACACAAATACATTAGATCTATATTTTGTTTGGACAGTTGAAATATGGAGGTGACAGACATTACTATAGGAAAGGCTGGTTTGGTGCTACTCTTCCCCAGGAAAGTAGGGCCTTTAGACTTGATCACACCAAAGACTAAGTTTGGAATTTTCCCTGAAGATCTACTGGGTCATTTGGGTGTGGTTTTAGTCTGGAATAGGCAAATTATGGGGGCCTTGAATCAAATTGTTCTTGTAGGGCTTTTCATTGAACACTGTATCTTTGGTTCTCCAAGAAGCTATGGGAAACGAAGCACAAGTGAGAGTTCTGTTGGCAAAAGGCAAAAAGCAAGATGTAAATAGATTCTGGAATCCTTTTTGCTTGCTTTACCAACAATGGGCATATGTATGTGTGTGTTGGAATTTGGATCACATGACTGGGAGGGAAGAGGGCTTAGATTGGAGTACAGTATTTAATAATTTTCTGAGGTTCTGCCCTACTGTCTCTTCTCTAAGGCTGCAATAGGGAATTTTTCCTCTGCAGCCTCTAGCGAACTTCAAACTCTCTTCCATAAAGATGCAATACAGACTTTTTCTAGCTAACTTCAAACTCTCTTTCTGGCAGGGGACAGTCTGCCTCCATTTGTATCAAAATTTGGTTCTGTTCAGGTTCAGAAAAGTACCATGTTGACCCCTTTCATTCTGCTACTGAAAATATGAAACAAAAAAATAAAATGCTGATTCATTTATTTAAAAGATTTTTTTTCCATCACATGAACAATTTTTTAAACAAAGTATATCTTATCAAAAGTATAAAATACTGTTTCTCCCTGCAAACTCTTACAGAATCCCTTTGATTTTACAATTGCCTGTCAAGAAAAAGCTGTATAATCTATACACAGTACTTGCTTTTAATTATGTACCAGGTACAATGCATGCCTCATTTTACCTCATCAAAAAAAAGAAGAAATTGCCCCCTCCCATGTAATATATTATGAAACTAAGCATTTAGTGCAAACTTGACTAATTACATCCTGAAATTAAATCACATGCAATTCAGGTGTAATTAAGCCGTAACAGGCAAACATTTACTATAAAATAAAATAAAAATGATGCTAAATGTTTTTAAACCAAATATTTTTACACTACACTATACCTCAGAAATTTACAACTTTTTTGTAACAATCAATCAGCAGTTAAATACTTCTGAAAATAAGATTTCTCCATTAAAATATATTTTCCCTTTTTTCTTAGGTTATGTACAATTTTTAATTAATTCGTTACTGAAATAACTGTGATAAACACAAAACTTCGGTAAATAGAACCTCCCCCACACAAGTTTTCTGGCAAAATATTGAAGCATATTTCAACAACATTTTTATGGAAGTACCAATATTCTTTCTTTTGCAATTCTGTTTAATGACATCTCTGTATATCCAGAGTATACTGGATGGGATACAGAGTAATTGTTTTACATAATTTAAAATGAAACCATGCATTATCAGGTTCATTATGAATTAGTCCAATGATCAATTGCAATACTGTCAATTTTACCAATACCTTCCAGTACATTGTAAGAATGCAATTCATTGGCACTAGTGCTGTGGTTATAAATCTAAAGACATAACCAGGAACAATTTTATATTAGAGACTTATTCTAAGGAAACTTAAAAATATATAATATCCTGAAGAAGCCTCCAAGTATGTTGGACTATAATTTTCAGCTATGGACCACACTGGGTAAAAATGTTGAGACCCAGTCTCAACTCATCTGATGGATGTAGTTTGAGGAACACTAAAAGCTAATGTTATTTAGATGAATAATGGCCTGATGCTTAATGAAGGTAATGACCAGCTTCTTAATGAAGGTAAAAAAAATCTGCCTTATAGTTTTACATGAAAGTAATATAGATCAGCTTGGGATGATCTATTGTGAGCTTTACCCTTTTATCAAAGACAGCAGAAACATTTTTGCCCAGTGGGATTGGTCTACCCCACTCATGCTGGGATCTATGGCAGATCCTATCAGTCAATGAATTTTAGCTGGTGGGATCCAGAAGATCTGCCATGGCCTCTGCGCTTTGGAACATCTTGCCACAGGAAATAAGATCTGCCCATTCTCTTTAAGCCGTTAGGAAAAGCCTTAAAACCTGGCTATGCTGGCTGGCAAGAGGTCCTGAAGGACCAGCTGGAGGCGGTTGATGCACCAACAGGAAAGCCAGCCTGCCTCTCTCCTCCAAACTCATGTTTTTTAGTTTGTTTTAATGTTTGTAATTTTAATCTGCTAAGTGTCAGATATTTGTATATTTTATCTTACTGTAAGCCACTCAAGAGTTGCCTTGAACTGCAAGATGGGTGTCAAGTAAATTTGATAATAATAATATTAAAAAATAGCAGACAAAGCAGATAGTAATACAATCTGGCAATGGTTAAGAGCAGGAAAGTTGAAAGAGACCAAGAAGCTAATTCTCGCTGTACAAGACCAAGCCTCAAGAACAAATGCATACAAAGCCAGAGCTGAGAAGTCAGTAATAGCTAGCAAATCCTGCCTCTGCAAAGAAACTGAAGAAACAGTGGGTCACCTGGTTAGCTGCTGCAAGAAGATTACACAGGCTGACTACAAACCACCTCATAACAAAGTAGCAACAATGGTGCATTTGACACTCTGCAAAAAATACTATTTGCTTGCTTGCTTGCTTGCCTGCCAGCAAGAACTGATGGGACCATAAAAGAGAGAAAGTAATAGAAAATGAAGAAGCTTTGGGACTTTAGAATCCAAACAAACAGGCAAACAGAAATCTGAATTTCAATATTATCAAAGTGAAAACTGTTAAAACATTAATTGTGGCTTTGTATTTTGGTTGTATAATTAAAATGAGAAGTTTAGCACATAAACACAATATAGGTCTCCCAAACTTGGGTAATGTTTTGGGCTTATTTTTAGTTTCAAACCTGCCACACCCCAGACATAACAACTGTCAATAAGACAGACAAAAAAGTCTAGATAGTGGATGTGGCAGTACCTGGACACAACAGAAGACAAGAGAAAGAACTGGAGAAGATAATAAAATATAAAGACCTGCAGATAGAAATAGAACAACTGTGACAGAAGAAAGCAGAAGTAGTTCCAATAGCAATAGGCTCTTTGGGTGCAATCCAGAAAAAAACTGGAGCACCACTTGAACTGCATTGACAAATTGCAAAAGTTAGCTTTACTCAGGACAGCTTACATCCTGCAACAATATCTTTATCACCATCAAACATCCACATCTGCCTGCCCCAAGGGTCCTTGGGAAAGGAATAAGGGGGGAGGAAAAGCCAAATCCAGTTTAAGCATATAGCTGACTGAGCATTGAACCATAATAATCAACTCTCTTCAATTTCTTTGTTAAAGAATTCATACACATCAGAAGAAAAAATCCATCAGACAGCTTGCAATTTACCACCTACTGACTAGTGAAAGGAAGCCTTTGGTATAATTTGAACTTGGCTACTTTTCATGTGGTGCTTGTGATCTGTAATTGGGCACAGAACTGATTTGAACACAGTAATTACCACATTTACAAAAATTATCATTGGTGGCCATGGCTAGCAAAGCTTTGAAGAGTAGAAACTTTAGGATTTGGCTGTGTAAGTGATTTTTACAAAAATATCTTTAAGGCTATTAGATTATCAAATACTAAGATCTGGCTCTCATGAAAATGTCCATGACCGCAAACAGAATTATTTTATTCCGTCACATAACACTAAATTCTTTGTTCACTGATAAATTATGCTAGAGAATTATATGAAAAACCAAACCCACTCCTGATGTTGAAAGAGTTGCTTAGCTAGGATATTCCAAACTTGACCATGTTGATCCATGTAATCATTCTCAAACATAATTAGAGAGGAAGAGATGGGGAAAATTTTGATCATTATTGGTTTAGCACAAGATTATCATAAAACACTACTCTGTGTATATTAAAACTAATATAACAAAATCAGGAAAAGGAAGAAACAACCAGAATTACTGTACTGGATGAGATTAAATTTGTACTTAAATTTGCATGTTATTGCTAAAAATAGCAACATAAAAACAAAATGGAAGGAAATCTGAATTTCAAAATAGTTATCAAAGTAAAAACTGTTAAAACATTAATTGTGGCTCTGCATTTTCGGTTTTATAATTAATAACATGTAAACACATGTAAAAACTTGTGTAATTTAATTCGGCTTATTTTAAGTTTCAAACCTGTGAATCTATAAAAGTCAATTTGGCAGGCATAAAAAGTATAATGTTCAATACATTTACACTAACCTCATCAACAAATTATACACTTGGCAGTTTTTAAACTCTTTGGCAATGACCAAAACCTGCATGGTTCCATCTAGGTTCTGCACACACTTTCATGATGATATATAATTCAGTTTACAAAAGTGAACGGAACTGCACCCAGATCTGGGTGCATTCTGTACCAAATACACGTGCATTTTGGAGCCACTGAGATACAGTAGCCACATAGAATTTATGATCAGAGACAAAGTGCAAAACTATTCTTTTCTATCTGGATGAATTTTAACAAATATATATATATATAAGCAAATTTATCTGAAGAAGGGCCTTTCCCCCTCCTCTTCTTTCTGTGAGAAAAAAATGGACTTGCACCTTTTCAGGAAAACACTGCTGCAAAGCTAAAGGTAGCATACTGTACCTATACTTTCAAAGACAACTTTTTAGTAACTGACTTACTGTACAAATTGGCAATACTTCACTACATAAATCATTAATTTACATGCAATCCAGGAACCTTCTATGAAAAGGTGGTGAGTTTGCTTCAGCTATTCTGTCACTGTAAAATCAAAAGTCTATCTACAATCTCCCAGATATTCCTTCATACACTGGCCCTGTTCCTTCTGAATCTCCTAAACTGGAAGCTCTGAAGTATGTATTATGACTATGAAAACTCTTGAAAACAAACAGTTTTATACATATTAGATTTGGTGATAATAAAAACTTCTACTTGCAGGAATGATCTAGTCATTCCTTCCAATTTCATGGTTGTTTCTTCCTTCCAGATGCAAGTAAAGCAGAACAGGACATATTGCCATCAATCTACCTGTGCCCAACCAAACAGAATATCCATTTAAATCTTGTTAGGAAAGACAATCAAGATCTCTTCAGAATTTTCATTTGGTGTCAAGGAAATAATTGAATTAGCTGGATTATAGGCCCAAGCAGAAGGGCCATATTAGTTTGCCCTGGTCCAAAATTGCCAGATACTAACAACCTATTCCATGTCGATCTTGGATTGAAGATGCAGGTATCACTGACTTATTTTTGCTATGTCACAGTCCTATTGCAGGCTTTTTTGAAGCCAGAATTAACAGAGGTGAACAAAAGAAAGTATCCTGAGGAATTTAAAGAACATGATGTTTCTTTGAACGTTTTAAGATATATGAACTTTTCAGAATATTTGATTCCAATATATTACACAAGATTCCTTTAGAAAACAACAATTCCCCTCCACTTTTAAAAAAAGAAAAGAAAGGAAGAACATCACAAGACAGATGTGTTTAAATCCAATTCTGGATTTAAATGAATCCAGCTATAGAAACAGTTTAAAATAAAAGGGAAGTAAGAAATACAGTCTTTTCACTGGAGGAAACTTATTTCCAACTGGCATCTGTTATGTTACAGATGTGGCTCATTTTGTCTACAGCTCAACCTCATCCTGAAGCAACTCTGATTCTTCTTCATCCAGTAAGAGGCTGGGGTTTATCACTTCAGCATTGTCAATTACTTCTCCCAGTTCCTTTACAACATCGCTGCCAAGGTCATCTCCCTGTTCAACTTGCTTTATTAAGTCTAAATGATCCAGGGGAATCAAACTGTGCCTTGGTGATCCAGTAGTCCTTGCTATTGTAGCTGCCATTTCGGCTGCAACAGCAGCCTTCTGGGCTTTCTGCCTCTGTTGTTCTTCCTGCTGGCGGTGGGTCTTCATATGAGCATTGCGACTTTTGATTTTGAAAAACATCCTAATACAATATGAAAAGGAAGGGAAAAAAAGGAATCTGTATAAATTACAGAGGTATGTTATATTTTCTCCATGAATTATGCTTCCTGTGCAGAAGAAGGGGCTGACCCTTCACTGCTGATCAGATGTTACAGAGAATGACTCAGCCGGGTGGCAGAGACGCACGTTCTTGACATGTTACAGGTTGCCATCAGCAAGAACACATGGGCCATCTTGTTCAACTTCAAAACACTTGTTCCATGTACATCCCTAATCAGAAGCTTGTAGTACTTCCTTGGGGATTTTGCAAGAATTTCAACTCACTTTTAAAAACCACATTCCTTCCCCCAATTAAGCTATGGGAATTATTATTTGGGGGAGAAGTGATTCTATGAAAGATTTTCACGGGTACAGGTATGCAGGTCTTGGCGTGTTTGGGTCTTTTCCCATGTAAGATTGAGAGTATCTTGGCAACCTCGTCGAAACGTCGCCAAGATACTCTCAATCTTACACGGGAAAAGACCCGAGCACGCCAAGACCTGCATACCTGTACCGGTGAAAATCTACGAAAACAAACAAACAAACAAACAAACATACATACATACATATATATATATACACACACACACACACACACACCACATACATACATAAACACACACATACACACACACACATACATACCTACATTTAAAGTGAAAGGATGTGGTACTGGCATAAACAGGAAATTCCTGGCTAAGCATACACTCAGATACGTTTTCTTAACTCTAATCCCTTTACCCAAATAGGGAGATCCTACACATTTGAAGTCTGTGAGGCTAAAAACTTTCAAGGGCAAACTTTATTTCTATTTTATAGCTTTAAAAACGGAATGCTAAGGAGTTTTCTACTATATCACCCAATAATTCAGTAGGTCTGTAGACAAGTGTCTCTTGCTCAGCTTCCTTTAAGTGATGCAATCAGCTAAAGATGCAGATATCAGGTAAGGTAGCATCATCCTGAGCAATCCTGTGGTAGGCAGTAAATAAAAATTGTGGTTTGTAAATACCATTGGCTGGATTGATATGTCACATTAAGCTAAAACAAAAACAAACCACATGATATACAGTACGAGTTCCACCTCTCCCTCAAGCCAAAAGAGGGTTAAAGTTTGGTTTATGACATCTTAATACTGTCTAAGTTGTACACATTATATTTTACCACTCTATAATACAGTGATTTGAAACAGCCTTCTGCATCCTGTTGCCCTCTGGATACTTTAGGAGTACAATTCCCAGAGTTCCCAGCAAGCATGACTGTGTACCACACTCATTAAGGCTACATTAGAATTACTCTTATTCATTAAGGCAACTTCCTTACTTTGTTGGGGAGTGATTTTCACCGGGTTTTCTACACAGAGTGTCACAGATTCTAGTTTGTGTGTCGATAGCTTTACTTACTTGCCACATTCTTTACAGGGGAAAACTGTAGGCGGATCTGTCTCACCACTTGTTGTGCTATGAGCTGGGGAACTCTTGACAGAGCAGTAGTCATTCTGAGAATTCGACTTCTGTTTAGTGCCAGGGCCCCCACAGCGGGTTTTGACCACAGGATTTGTACCACCGTGAATACGTGCATGGCCATTCAGGGCTTGTCTGGAAGTGAAGACCTAGAGGGCAAATAAGTCAAAAATACATTTTCTGAATTAAAGTTTTTAAAAAAAGGTGTAACAATGATATTGAGTTCCTCAAATGGTATCTTGCCTGTTTTCTTAATTTGACTATGCAAGATCATTTAAACATTTGTTCTGAACTTTTTATTTCTGACTGGCCAATTATATGCATGAAGACAGCTTCACCATGCATCCTCAGCACAGCTTTTGAACAGATTGTCATTTAGCTATCTTGGCTAACAGCTATGATCAAAACCACATGCCTACAGAGATCATCCATTCACATCTTTGCCAAGCCAAATGACCAACAATGTATTTACAATCACTCTTGGACTTCAATAACATATTTGTGAAAATTTCTAAATTAATATCCATGATTGAAGATATCCAAGTTATACTTTACTTTTATTATTTGTAAGGTTAATCTCAGGCATAGGCTAGGCTAAACCAATCATAAGCAGCTTTTTTAGTTGCTTGGAGCCACATTCAATTTTGCAGGAAAGAAGGAAGAACAGAGCAATAGATGGGGATCATAAGCTAAGTGGGGAAGACTGGGGAATGGGCAGGTCCAACTTTGGGTGATTTGGTGAGGATCGGTTTATTTTAATTTTGTTTTGTATCTCATTTCTCTTATTTGCAGCTCTATGTGAATAATATTATAGGATGAATGTAACGATTTAACACGTTTCTATTACCAAACAGCAGAAGTGTCTCCTGCTGATGAAATTTTGTTGTGTAGTTAGATGAATTTTGGAGGACAGAAAAATGGAATTTAGAAGCCCTAAATCCAGCCTAATTAAAGAGTAACAGAAACCTAGGAACCCTATAGTTAAAGTACCATATTGGGTGAACATGAATTAATTAAAAAATTATTAAAAATAATTTTATTTCTCTTCTAGAACAAGTACATGTTCTTCTTCTTTGTTGAAAGTTATACATCACATTTTCTTAAGAGTTCAGAGTGGCTTATATAGGGATCTTCCTTTACTTTATTTCATACAACCCTCTGATACAGGTTGGACCATGTGTGTGACTGGCTCAAAAACTCCCAGTATGTTTCCATGGGTGAGGGTGGACTTGAACCTAGCTCTCTGGTGTCCTACGTCTGATATCTTAAGGCCTATGCCACTCTAGGCATCAGTGTTAAGAGATTTTGCATCCAATATCAATTACTGAATGTGTATTGTGAAGCCACAGAACTGCACAGTCTAGCTGCCTCTGTATCCACTCTAATGGCAGAAAGTGAAGAGGAACTAAAGAGCCTCTTGATGCGGGTGAAGAAGGAGAGTGCAAAAGCTAGCTTGAAACTCAACATTAAGAAAACCAAAATCATGGCATCTGGCCCTCTCAATTCCTGGCAAATAGATGGGGAAGAAATGGAGGTAGTGACAGATTTTATTTTCCTGGGCTCCAAGATCACTTCAGATGGGGACTGCAGCCAAGAAATTAAAAGACGCTTGCTCCTGGGGAGGAAAGCTATGGCAAATCTAGACAGCATACTAAAAAGCAA